TCTTCACAGGGTCTAAAAGGATCTCTCTCAACATCGAGAATCCTACCAACCATTGAAGTACTTAAAGGAGTTACTTTGTCCATACGAAAGCGTTTCAATAACCTTTTTGTATAATTTGATTGATGCACAAATATACCTTCTCGGAGATGCTCAATCTGGAGCCCAAGACAAAACTTTGTCTTTCCGAGATCTTTCATTTCGAACTCTTCTTTCATATGAGTTCGTGCATCATCAATCTTCTTTTGAGTTCCAATAATATTCAGGTCATCAACATATACAACAATGATCACAAGGCCAGATGACGATTTCTTTATAAAAACGCATGGACATATCGCATTATTCACATATCCTTTTCTCAAGAGATATTCACTTAAGCGATTGTACCACATGCGTCCGAACTGCTTTAATCTGTAAAGTGATTGATGTAACTTGACCAAACAAATCTCCCTGGGTTTCTCTTTCAATGCTTTTGGCATTTTCAATCCTTCTGGGAGTTTCAAGTATATATCATTATCCAATGATCCATACAAGTATGCAGTCACAACGTCCATAAGATGCATTTCAGAATTCTTTGACGCCGTAAGGCTCATCAAAAATCTAAACGTAATTGCATCCATTACCGGGGAATACGTTTCCTCAAAATCAATTCCCGGTCTCTGAGAAAAACCTTGGGCTACTAATCGGGCTTTATATCGTGTTACTTCATTATTTTCATTTACTTTTCTCATGAATACCCACTTATACCCAACATGATTTATATTCTCAGGCGTTATAACTATAGGTCCAAAGACATTTCTTTTATTTAGAGAGAGTAATTCAATTTCAATGGCCTTCTTCCACTCCTCCCAATCATTTCTTTTCATACATTCTAAAATGGACCTTGGATCAGGATCATCACTTTCGTGATCTATTTCTTTGGACAAAGAAAAAGGAGAACATTCCATCAACATCTTTTATCTTATTTCTGATCCATAACTTTTCTTCTTGGGCGTAGTTGATGGAAATCTCATACTTTTATGTTCCCTCCTCGTCATCTGGATCCTTATCTTTATTTGGTTCTTCTTGAACCTTTTCATTTATGCTTTTTTCAGACATCTTTCAGTATCAGGTTCTTCTAGAACCTTTCCTTTTTGCTCAACCAATTTCTTTTTCTTTCGGAGATTTTTATCTTTAGAACCCACAGGTCTCCCCCTCTTTAACTGAGCTCTAGGCTCATTCATTGTATCTCCATCAGTTTGTTCTTTGGGAACAACAACTCTTGATGGAACATTTTCAGCGGGTATATATGATTTCGTCACCCTTCTCGTATCTGTGAACGCATCTGGTAACTGGTTTGCCAAATTATGCAAGCGCACAATTTTCTGAACTTCCAACTCTCTTTGATTCGTTGGGGGATCAAGGTGTAACAATGATGGTGTACACCAAGTAATCTCTTTAGGAATTTCTCTAATTCCTCCCCCTAACGCTGGAAATTCTTCTTCATTAAAATGGCAATCGGCAAATCATGCCGTAAACATATCACCAGTTACTGGTTCCAGATATCTTATTATGCTTGGTGACACATAACCCACATATACTCCCAATCTCCTTTGTGGGCCCATTTTTGATCTTTGTGGCGGAGCTATCAGAACATAGACCGCACACCCAAAGATACGGAGATGGGATACATCTGGCTCATGCCCAAACGCCAATTGTAATGGGGAGTATTTATGATATGCACTCGGTCTTAACCGAATCAGTGCATCTGCATGCAAAATAGCATGACCCCATACTGAAATTGGGAGCTTTGTCCTCAAGATCAACGGCCTTGCAATCAACTGCAACCGTTTAATTAATGACTCGGCCATCCCATTCTGTGTATGAACATGGGGCACTGGATGTTCTACATCAATCCCCACTGACATACAATAATCATTAAAGGCTTGCGATGTAAATTCACCAGCATTATCAAGCCTTACTTTCTTAATGGCATATCCTGAGAATTCTGTTATCTGCCTTATTATTTGGGCAATGAACTTTTCGAAAGCCGTATTTCGTGTTGTGAAAAGACACACATTTGACTATCTACTAGATGCGTCAATTAATACCATGAAATACTTAAACGGCCCGCATGGTGGGTGGATCGGCCCACATATATCACCATGTATTCTTTCTAAAAACATTGGTGATTCATTGCCTACTTTTTCTGGTGATGGCCGAGTTATAAGTTTTCCTTGAGAACATGCTTTACATGTAAACTCGCCCGTTTGCAAAATTCTTCGATTTTTCAACGGATGGCCATTTGAATTTTGCACTATTTTTCTCATCATGACTGAATCAGGATGTCCTAGCCTCTCATGCCAGATTTTAAATGTATCAGTAAACTTCATGTTGACCACGACATAGGAATCAGTCATGTGTATTCTTGTACAATATAGTCCAGAGGATAACATTTTTAACTCTTCCAATATATGTTTCCCCTTGGACTTAATGCAAAGAAATTCAATGCAATCTTTACACATAGTCTCAATATGGTTTCCATTTCTTCGGATATCCTTGAAACTTAACAATTTTCTATTAGACTTGGGGGAGTATAATGCATTACATATTTCAAATATCGTCCCCCTTGGCATTGAAAATTTCACTCTTCCAGAGCCCATTATAATATTTGCATTAACAGATGTTGTACTTACGCTTCCAGCGTAATCTTTTATTTTGAGACTGGAGAAATATTTCTTATCTTTGATTATCGTGTGCGTTGTAGCACTATCTGCCAAACAAATATCTCCATCCATAGTCTCAAAGTTTGGCATTCTTTCTGAAAACATGTATTATTAAACTTATATCACATAACATTAAACATACATTATTAAACAAGAAACAGAACATATATCTTACAACAAAAGATATAGATACTATAATACAGTAAACTTATATCACATCGATTTTATATTACTCATCGATACTCACTGGTTCAACCAGAAAATCTGATACGTTGAGATGAGTATCATCATTTAAACCATAAAAGGATGACCCGGGTTCATCAGAGATGAAGTTTGTTTCACCTCCTTTCTCTTTTTTCTTTTGAGATTCTTTATACAGATTGGCTAAATGTTTTGGCGTACGGCAAACATGTGCCCAATGCCCTTTCATACCGCATCTGTAGCAAACTCTTGTTTGCTTTTTATTATCCCGGTCCCTTTCACCTTTTTCATTTTCGTGGAGATCTTTATTATTTCTTTTATCATATGGACGAAATTTTCTTCCTCGTCCTCTTCCACGACCATGATTTCGACCACGCCCACGACCTCGTCCTCTCCAATTATCATAACTGGATGATGCAACATTCGCTTCAGGGAATGGAGCTGATCCAGTGGGACGAGCCTGATGGTTTAAAGTCACGAGTTGATTATTCTCCTCCGCTACAAGGAGGACTTGCATCAACTCTGAGTAACGGGTATATCCACTCGCCCGGTATTGTTGCTGCAGGACTATATTTCTAGGATGGAACGTGGAGAGAGTTTTCTCGATCATATCATAATCACTTATTTTCTCTCCACATAACATCATCCTAGATGTAATTCCGAACATAGTGGAATTAAACTCACTAACACTTTTATAGTCCTGGAACCGGAGATGAATCCACTCGTGTTTAGCTTTTGGTAAGATCACATATTTCTGGTGATCGAACCTCTCTTTTAAAGATTGCCAGAGGTCCAAAGGTTCTTCTTTCGTAATATATTCATCTTTTAAACCATCATGTATGTGGTGCCGTAAAATATCATGGCTTTAGCCTTTTTCTCATCCGACACCGTTTTTGTATTATCGATGGTTTCCAATAGCCTGTTTCCTCTCAGGTGCATCTTTGCACCCACTGCCCAGGTCATATAATTATTTCCCGTAATATCTAGGGCATTTATTTCGAGCTTTGTCAGATTCGACATGTTAACTGTTTTCATAGAATAATAATATAAAAATATAATAAAGGTGGGAATTTAAATGCATAATTTAAATGCAGAAATTAAAAGCATAAAATAAAAGCAAAATTTAATTTGCAGAAATTTAAAAGCATAAATAAAACTGGAGGCTTAGCCTTCCAAATTATCTGAGGAGACATAGTCTACCATGTTGATCACTTTTATCAAGGTTTGAGGAGACATAGTCTGCCATGTTAACCTTTTCTTTTTATTCAAGGTCCGAGGAGACTTAGTATACCATTTTGACCTTTCATTTTTTTTAAAGATCCGAGGTGACATAGTCATCCATTTTGATCTTTTTATTCACGGAGGCAAAGTCTATCATGTGTTTCTCTGATCGTGACGGTATAGCCATCTTATCGATCAGTTAGGGAAGGCAACGCATATCATCCCGAAAAATAAACGGAGAAGGCCTACCCTCTTACTCCGAAACAGTAATAAAATTACAATAATAAAAATTATTGAAATACATAAATTAAACATTACCTCACCGATATAACATTGTTTGATATAGGATCAGAGCTTCGTGCTGATAACGTGTTATAAATTACTAATTTAAATAGTTTTATGTTTATTATTATTATTTTATATGTGTTTAGTGTATAAATAAGAATGAAACGAGAGTGGGAGAGAGAGATCAGAACATATAACTTGATCTTCTTCATAACTTCACTTTTGTGACAGCAATATATATAGGGGGAAGAAGTCGGTTATATTGACAGACTTGATACAAAAAGAGAAAACAAAATATTTTCTTTAATGGATAATCATCATCCAAAATCAGACTTATCTTAACATAAACAACAATGTAAAATTAATTAATTTATTTTTAAATATAGTTGAAAGTGGACGTGGGTTTTAGTTGGAAACCCATAAAAACACTAACTCAAGTCTTAGCACATGACTTTTCTCTTGATGTTGAGCTATTACTTGATTTATCAATTTTACTAAAAAGATAACTTAAAATTGTAAGTCAAATATAACACATTTGGAAGTCAAATAGTAACTCAAAATTGTAAAATTAATTTAGATGAATTAGAAGGTCTCGGATCTCACTTTTGCGACATTCTAGATGAATTAGAAGGACTCGGAGCCTTGCCACTTCTGTTTCATTGGGACTTAATCGGATCTATTCTACGCAGCAGAGAGGCAAAGCAAGAAGAGCAGACATTTTACCTACTCAGCATCACCACCATTCACCGAGGTTCAACAACTCCCAACTCTCTAATCACTTTACTCCCCCGTAAGCGCTTCTTCACTCCCTCTACCTCTCTCTTGAATTTTCACTTTTCATTCTTTATAGATGCTCCCCGGTTTTGATTTAATCTAAACCCATTGATCTCGATGAAAAGGAACTTGATTCTGTCTTGTAAGTTGTGAAGCCATTGTTAGATAATATGTGGCCTATTTACTGACTAAGTACATGCTTTCAAGGTGTTCGATAAAATGCCAATAAGAAAATTAGAAGTTTGTTTGCATTGGGTGAATAAAGAGTGTTGAATATTTTATTCTTGTTATTACGTTTCTGTTATCTTTTACATGTGGCCATTGGCATTGCTTGGTTCATGAATCTTTAATAGGCCTTTAACAATAATCTTCTATTTTCCAAACAAAAACTGAAAAAGGAATGTTTTTTTTTGGGATTTAGTAGAGTTGTTGGGAACATGAAGAAAGGAATACACCCACAGATGCAATGGATCTCTTACGTGACACAGAGCGGTAGATTGATGCACGTCATGATGACTAGAATCCACCATGTTGGCAAAGTCTATCACTTTGGTGCTAAGCGTCAGCTGGCTCAAAGCATTGGTCAGATTGCCAAGTTCAAGCGCAGGTTTAACGAACAAGAGGAAGAAGCTACACATGAGAACAACAACATCCAGAACCAGAACAAGTAAACTGTAACTCCAACTCCTGTGTTGTTCTCTCCCTTAACCTTTCCTCAAAAACCAAAGGCTTTAGACATTTCATTTACACAAGGCAATTTTAAACCTTGCTTCTCATGATTGATTCTCATGATTGATTCTCACTTTATCTTGAGTCGCACTGTTTCATCAATAAAAAATCCTGTCTTAAACTCTTACTGGCCATGTGTATTCTTTGAAATATGGAACGTGTTTAGTATCATCAGTTAAGATGGAATCATTTCACTGCTCTTTTTTTTTTTCATATGTCGATTCAAACTACCAATGTATCATTTCAACATAGGTTTGATAAGGAAATTACAATGTAGTTCAGACAGAGCTAACCTGACATAACTAGTGTGGTCCATGTTTCTAGTAAGTGGGGAAGTTGGGGTTGACATCTGCTGCCCAAGCTTCAAGTCCTCCAGTTATATCTTTGGCTGAATCAAAACCCCAATCACGAAGATACTGAACAGCTCTCTGTGAATCATTTCCTCGCCTGCACACCACGTAGAGGCTCGGATTAGCATTTGCCTCTTGTTTTTCTTTCAGAGCTGAAGTAAGCTCATCTAACCGAGCCTCTAAATTTGCAAGAGGGATGTTGAGTGAATCAGGGAGAGAGACTATCTTATAATGATGAGCAGGTCGAACATCGAGAAGAACATGTTGCTCCTTCTTTTCAAGGATCTCTTTGAACTCCTTGCTGTTGATTCTTGACTCTGGGGGAAGTAGATTCAACGGACCCTGAGATCAAACCGGTGCAGATAATAGATGTATGAAACTGTTGTTGAAACACAAAATTAATGGATGCGAGGAAACAAAGAAACAGAGACCAATACCGCAGACAAAGGAAACTGAGTGAAGTCCTCATAATCAAAATCTTTGAACTGCTGCTTATTGAAAGACGAATTGTCTCCACACACTGTGCACTGAGCTGACCTGCCTCTGATCTTGACCTGTGCAAACACTATACCTGATTAGGTTCTAGTACTGTAGAGTGAGTTTGGTGAAGAAGAAGATGGGACTTAACAATGCGGATCCTTGCTGATAAAGCGTCAAAAAGAAGCATCCGTTCAGAGAGAGGTTCTCCCACCAAGCTCGCGAGTTTAATTGTCTCTAGCGCTTGTAGACAGCCAATAACACCCGGAACTAAAAACAAGAAAACGAAAATTCATTTCAAGAACGAAGAAAATTGTGGAGACTTGTCTTGGGTTATGAAAGTAAAAGACACAGTGATTAAACCAAAATGGTGTAGACGATGACAATACTAGCGTAACGTGTGTATTATCTGTATGATGATGATAAAAAGCCGAAAAAGAAAGAAAAAATCAATAAATGAAAGTATCTTTTGTTCAGCAAGAAAAAAGAAAGAGCTGCAAATGTGTGTTTTCTTAAAGTCTCGTACCTGTCTATGCATATTGTTGAGTTGTACGACATCATGATCGATAATACCCAATCGACCTAAAAGAATACAATCGAAAAGCTGACCATCAATATCATAAAAAAGGGAGAACCAATAGTTTCTAGAGAAAGAAAAGGTATGGAAATTTGAGGTAAGAGTGTGAAAGCATATACCACGACCACAAGCAGCGAGATACAATAAAGCAGGTGAACCAAGCCCTCCAGCTCCGATGACTAATACCGACGACTTCAACAGATTTGATTGGGCCTCACAAAAGTGCATATATGCAATCAGAGTAGATATTGTAACAAAAATGCAGTCAAACTTGTCAGAGTGAAACAAAAGAAAAACCCAATGCAAAGTTTTTAACTTTCAGTTCAATCCAGTGCAAACTTTTACAATTTTCGGCTCAATCCAACTAAAAATTTTCAATTTTCAGCTCAATCCAATGCAAAGTTTTCAACTTTCAGCTCAATGCAATGCAAAGTTTACAAATTTCAGCTCAATCCAATGTAAAATTTTTAACTTTGAGCTCAATTCAATGCAAAGTTTTCAACTTTCAGCTCAATCCATTTGAGCAAATTAGTAGTTACCTTCAACACCAAAGGAAGGGAGTAACAATTGGCGACTGTAACGATAAATCTGATCAGGAGATAGCCCATGGTCAAGCCCGTGTTCACTCGTTGCCGGAGCCGTTGGAAGAGAGCAACCGTTAGATACGGCAATACACCGTTCACGCGCCACAGTCTCATGGAGCTTTGCTTCGAGAGAAGAGATACGGTGCTCAAGTTCTGCCTTCTGTAGCTTTAGCTCTTTCAATTCACGGACGATTTCCGACGAATCTCCACCGTTCGATTCCATACCGGTAATGTTAGACCGATGGTAGTGAAGCTCTAGAGCAGCAGCAGCGAAGAGGACGTCGTCAGTCAAACGTTGACTGTCTTTTTTGATGTTTTGAATCTTGGCCCACGTGTCACTTAACGGCGTATTTTTGTTTCTACTCGAGCGGACAAGATACACTTCTTTTTTTTTGGATAAAAGGCCTTCAAAAACAAAATATTGTACACTTTTGTATGGCTTTTGATTAATAATAAGGTTAATTTTTTTGGTAATATGGTTAATAATAAGTTTACAAAATAAGTCTATTTACTAATCAATTTTTCTTGAATTACCGTTTAATTTATAGATATAAGTATCCAAACAACATAAAAGGATAAATAAATAAATAACCATATATAACTAATTCAAACAATAAATATTTAGCAGAGTAGAGTTTCGATTGAGAAGTGCTCCTAAGAGCATGTGCATCCCATAGAAAAAGGAGGTGTTTAGGGCAAAAAGTGGGATAAGGGGCCACATAAAAACAAAAACCGACGCCACAAACTCCTGTATAAATGTTTTTTTCGTTTGGTATTTGGCTTTTTCTACGGGTTCCACGACACGTGGCGATCTGTAATTAATCATTTTTTTTTCTTTTTTTTTAAATCCCAAAAAAACAAAAAATTAAACATCCCTTGGTGGGGTGTTGGGATAAACATGTTCTAACACAAAACATTAGAAATAAGCATGCTGAACCGAATCAAATTAAGCCGAATCAAAATTTTCAGTTTTCAGTTCATGTTTATATATATATAGCACCAAATAATATATTTGTTGGAAACCTAAGCAATATTTTATCGGGCCGGTATGGTAAACTTGTCAACCATATAAACACGTAACACGCACGTGGCATCATAATCATAACGCCATCATCATAGTGTATGATTCATACATCAGTTGGCAATTGAGGAGTATAGAATAAAGCCGAGAGACCTCCTAACTCATATAAGTGATCTGAAAAAAAAAAGAATCCTTCTAATGGTTTGATCTAATCTATACCTACAGCTCAAAAGTGAAAGACCCTCTCCAAAGAAAAAAAAATGTTGAGAAATTATGTGAACCAAAGATTAATCTCCAATCCTAATGTAGGATCATCATGTCTTTACTTTCTTTACCTTAAGGTATGTTCATAATTTCCCCTATATCTTTTTGATGAAATCAACTAAGTTAATAAATTATGTAGAGAGGAAGGGCGAGTGGAGGAAGGGAAGAAGGAAGAGATCCTCTTTCCACGTCGGAGGAGATCGCGAGACAAGGTATTGCTAGCCAGACGTCAGAGAAGGCTTACGACGGAGCAGCGGAGGCGGTCAAGGTGTCTAGTGATTCTGAGGAGGATAAGGAAAAAGTGAAAAAGGAATTTGAAAAGAGGGAAGAAGGTAGAGACTATCGCAAGAGGAGTGATGATGATGGTTTGCCTATCAACACGGCTAAAGGAGTATGATGAAGATCATATATAGGCACTTGTTATAGTATCATTACCGTATGATAAAACTGTTAATCTATGTTTGTATCATTGTATGTGATAAATAGTCATGTGCTATTTTGTGTACAATGAGTAGAATGATCATAGAACCAATTGTGTGTGTTTTTCTTGTTGTTGTATTATCAGCTAGACAGCTACTCTGAAATATTTATGGTTTTTTCAAATATAATGTAATCTAGCAACAAAAATTGCTAGGATAGAATACATTCATTGTCAAACTGTTTTTTAGTTTGAATAAATTTGACATTCATTGAAATGGAAGTAGGTTTACCAATTTAAAATTAAAATCACTGAAAAAAAAAACAAATGAAATTTGACTTTGTAAACAAATATGATTATCTTTCAAGATTAATAAAATAAAAATACGAAAGAGGAAAAAAAAAATACGAAAGAGGATCGAGATAATTTCATCGATTAGAGCCGGTACAATATAGATTGTTAATTAGTGGGCCTAAACAAAGCCCAAAGTTGGAGCATGAGCTATTGTAACTCGTTTCACGACTGTGTGTAGCTAAAACCCTTGGCCAAACGCGAAGCTCAACGATTGGTTCCGATCTCTGTTTCACCGGACTTCTCGCATCAATTTCTTCCAGGTATCTCTCTTTCTCATTTCGATTCGAACCTGATTGCCTCTTATCATATCTCATTTTACGCAACTCTTGTTATCGCTTTTGAGGCAATCGATCTGATTGAGGCTATAATTCGCGATTCCGTTTCTGATCCAATAAGATGCTTGCTTGATTCATCTCTGTTACTAAAATGGTTATGATTCTGTAGAAGAATTTTGGCTCTTGTTTGTGTGAAAAATCTTTTTTTTTTTTTTATATTGTGTTTTGGTTACAGAGAGTCAAGGAAGTCAAGAATGAGTGGTTTTAGAGCATTCAAAGCGAAAGTGCCAATTGAATGGAGCGAGAGCTTGTACATAACCTTAGTGAGAGGCCTCCCTGGAACCAGGAAGCTTCACAGGCGTACACTCGAGGCTATGGGACTCCGCAGATGCCACCGCACTGTTTTGCACTCCAACACTTCTTCCATTAGAGGAATGATTCAACAGGTTAAGAGGATGGTTGTTGTTGAAACTGAGGAGATGTTCAAAGCTCGCAAACAAGCTGAAGCTAACCATAAAGCTCTCCGTCCGCCACTTGTTGTCAGTCATTCAATCCCTTCTGCAACTGGCCCAACCAACATGTCTTGAGCATTTCATGATGTTGTTTAAGATCCACTACCTGCTTTTGTAATGATGTTAATTTAAGACTCCGGTAAGGTGTGAAGGAAGACATAAAAAAGTGTACTGTAGACGTGATAAGAAGTGTTGAGATCGATGAGTTTGGTGCCTCTTATGTTTCTGATGTGTACACTGGATCCTTGTCATGTCTGATCTCATTTTGTTAAATCTCAAACCCATAGGTTTGTTTACTTTCTGTTTCTTTTATGGTTCTTTCTTTTAGTACCAGATCGGTTAGTATACTTGGTATAGAATGTTAAGTAGGTTAAAAAAAATATTTTTTTCTTTTGCAGTATTACGATTAGGATGAACTAGTTTTTGGCAAATAGATTTGCTCATGAACTAGTTTTTGGCAAATAGATTTGCTCATGAACTAGTTGATAAATCTACAAAAGCTTCATTTCAATTTGAATGCTTCTTGATAAATGCTGAAAGTTTTGCACAACTTTATTTTTGTTCACAAAACAACTCTTACAAAATCAAATGTACAAGAAGAATCAAAACTGGAACAAAAATACAAAACCTTTTAGTACGTGATACGAAAAACTCTATAAATCCTAAGATGCGTCAGTATCTTTGAAGAACATCTGCAGGTGTGATCCAAAACATAAGATTACAAAATCTTGACTGGTGAAGCTCCTTGATTTGCTTACTCTCCCATTCAAAAACGCTCAGATTTAGGGGCCCCGATCCTAAACTCCCATCAATGAAGTAAATGGAATTGTCTTTGATGAACCCTCCAGTTCCGGTTTCACCTGCTATAACCGCTACACATCTACCTTGAGGGCTCAAGAACAAAGCTTTCCCACTCAAGCTTCTCACCACAGTCCACTCTTTCGTCTCTAAATTAAACTCGTAAATCTCAAAATATGTGGTGAAATCAAAGTCGTCACAAACGTCTAGCTTCTGTAGAACCACCCACAGTTTACCATAATCCGACTCTGCAAAGTATTTCTTGCAAGGGTCGTACCGAAACGGCGAGGCGTTGCATAAAGGAATAGCCTTTGGATTGTTAGTGTTAAGTTCACATTGATATATCAATCCAGTTCTGTCCATGGAAAAGAAGACACCACTACAGAACACAGTGTCAACAATGTGATCAGACTCTAACTCCGTCCATTGTTTATCTCTGTGTCTGCAGAAGGCTAGCTTTCCTCCATCAATGTTATAGATTATGAGCACAACCCAATCAGAGTCTAATAAACTTTTACAAGAGACTACTTTCTTTACAAACTCTTTAATTAGGGTTAGGGCTCCAGAGTTGGCTTGGAACTGAAGCAACCGCTGAACATCCTCAAAAGATACCAACGGTGGCAGAGAAACAACGTTGTTAGTAAATGGATTCTGTAAACATACCTCGAACGGGAAAGAAACATGGACAGTTAACAAATACCCTCTTGTGCCTCCGCAGATCCATCTCTGATAATTCCCTGAGAAAACCAAATTTTTAGGAGACAAAATTCTAAACTGATTAGAGAAATGAGTTTCTCCATCGGCAGAGGAGGGATGGGAAACAAAGAATAAAGGAACGAACTTGCGACTGTACACGGCGGAAGAAGAATATCTCCAAGAAGAACAGACGGTGGAACAGCTAAGGATGTCTTTGACATCGGTTAGGCTGTGGAATACAGAGTCTATAAGATCCGGGAGTAAGTCCGACCAGGACGAAAAGGAGGAATAAGATGAAGATACAGCCATTACTATTTTTTTTTTCACGGTTGAAGCTTGAAAAACGAAAAGCTAGGTTTTATAAGGAAACGAGAAACTTGGGCGTCAAGTAAACGTGGAGGACAAGTTTTATACAATTACCAAGGTCGGTTAAAGTAGCCTATAGTTTAAGCTACCGCTTCATTAAACAAAAGCCCATTAGATATTTAATGATCCAATAATAACATCACACCGCCTTATTGATAACTGTTACACACTCTTATTGAGACACCACCATAGAGACCACTAAAAGCAGAACAGATACATGCCATCATTAGCAACACCACCGGTCTGATGGAGCATTGCATCGATCTCATCTCCCTCTTCCATATCAAGCTGTAATAGTAGAGACTCTAGGTTTTAGGAAATGAAACAACTTGAAAAGGGAGGGAAAAGCTAGAGAGAGTGAGTGATCTGACCTCATCAGGAGTCTGTTCACCACGGAGACGACGTCCATCAAACAAGAAAGCGATTGAGTTGAAATCAACAGATTGACGGTCGCAGTAAGCGGTCATCAGCTTCTTCAGCTGAGTAGCCCTCTTTATCCTAAAGAAGACTTCATTTCCATCCTAAGTATCATCAATCAATCCAGAAAGATTAATGATTCATAATTCAAACCATCAACACTTCGCATAATAAAGCTTTCATAACATATCCAAATATAATTTGCATAAACACAACACTTCAAAACTATTACAGACACAAATTAATGAACATATATAATCACTACCTCTACACCCATTCAAAAGTTTGGTATGTACAAACAAGTTCTTGATTGCTACAATTAATGACAACACATCACAACTCTCAAAGAACTCATACACAAGTAACGCTTACGCCAGAATCTCTGCCTCTGTAAACAGCTCATACAAAATCTTACAACTTTATCCATCAATCTACTAATACAGTTTAAATACATTTTTAGAAACGATTCCTTTAGACATGTCTATGAAAATTCTCAATATGTTACTGATATCGAGCCAGAATCTACATCTACACCACATAATTTTAAAGATAAAGTCAAGACCCTAGATAAAAAAAAATCATAATTAAAAACAATTGACGTTAACAGAAAAAGAATCGGAGGAAGAGAAGTGAGTGACAGAACCTGGCCCTTGACTTTGAGATTGATGTGAGCTGGTCCTTGGTCTCCAGGCTTCTTGTCTTCTTCCTGAAAAGCAGACATCTTCCCTTTTATCTAGTCGGCGACGGAAACAAAAACTCCGATCTGCGATAAAAGAAGAAGTTCTGAGAGAGATTCGCGCGATCGCAGAATGAAAGAGAGACTCGGGAGAGAATAATAAAACCACTTCTTGGTCGCATCGGATTCTTGTTTTCTTTATCTAACGGTTGATAATGCTTGGTCGTGTAACATCTGACGGCTAGGAGAACGTCGAATCTGTAAGTTAAAACGCCGTCGTTTGTGTTATGAGCATTCATAATGGGCTGAGTTTGGATTAGATGGACTCACATGTTAGTTACTCTTTCTAGTCGAAAACGTGATACAACCTACATACCTTGAAAATAATAAATTTGTAAAACCACCAGACCCTGTTCTTGTATATGTATTGCAGCTACCTCCAACTGCAATCTACAACATGCGACTTTAATCACAAGTCCCAGCCTATAATTAAATTTGTTCTTGTGGAACTGGTCATAGTGATTAATCACAAATCGTCAATTCGTATTGTTGAAACTCAGCACAGTATTAATGTCGGACTTTTCTACAATATGTGACTAATCGCAGTGATTTATCATAACACATTGGCACATTGCAATAGGTAAACTAACAACATTTAATTCTATAATGATTACAAGTTGCATCGACATATAAACAAGCATGGCATGTCATGTAAATGTTTTTCAGGTTAAAACATCTTTCATTATAAACAATTATCAAAATTCATGTTAAAAATATAATTATCTTATCAAAGTTAATTTACAAATGTTGAAGAAACTTTGGACAACAATGAACAAACTTCATGAAAATAATGATATAACAAGATAGTGTATCTGCACACTGGTTACAAATTTTTTTCTGTGTATGAATTTAATCGAAGGGAACATGGCATTGTAGATGTAGTGTCGATGCTTAAGAGTTAAGATTGTGAGTTTTGTTATTGATATATATTGTGTGAAAGATTGTATTATCCCCTTCCAATCCAGTATCATAAAGACTAGCATAAATGCTCGCATGATATTTAAATACTTTTACAAAACTATCTACAACGTAGTGTGTGAATGTTCGATGTTTCGTGATGACTACCATTTGCGAGCAGATACTACTATAACAGACATCTACATTTATTTTATATGTAGCAGCTTTTTTTGTCCTAGCGTAAACATCAAGGACAAGCAGCTAACATTCCTATCTAAAACTCAACTTGGTGGACAGACATCATCCAAGTCACCTACCGCATTGAATTCTATTTCTTGGTTGATAAGAAAATATGATTATATATATGCATATTAGTTTTCATATTAGACTTTTATTACGTTCATATTTGGAATAGGGCAGTAATAGGTAGAAACAAGTCAATATGAAAGTGACACCTCTCCGTATAACTTAATGTTGTTTATGTACATTGTGTTCCAATTTTCGGTTCCGTGTGAACCAGAGCTTACCGACTCCAAGCCTGGGCGAAAGATAACGTACGATGTCGATAAACCTCATAAACATATATATATATATATGTAGAAATATAAATATTAACATTCATAATTCAAAAGATTATATTGTTATCTATGTATATCTGTATATATACACAAAACATATACTATCATTATCTGTACTAGTATTTCTATATGGATCTAACTTTGTGTTTTATTATTTAAGTCTCAAACACCGAAACTCAACCTAATTTTGAATTGTAATACTAGTAAACATAGGTACATTAGTAGGGAGCATATGTGCATAAAATTGAACAAGCCTCTGGACTACGATCCTTAATTTGAACTGTTAAATTAAGTTAAATACAGTACGAATTGCAAATCATTCATAAATAAGAAGCATTGTTAAACAAACTTTAAAGAATGATACTAATATATGTTACTCAAAAATCATGGTAGCATATATATTATGTAAATAAATATGAAATTAAAACCGAATCTTCTATTTGCAGTTTGTCATAAAATGTGTAAAGAAAATTGCGTGTGAAAATTATTCAAGATACTAAATGCATATTTCACGTCGTAATTGGTAACTCAATTAATTTTCAATTCAGTAACTACAACAAAATATTAATAACTCAGTAAAAAAATCAAAATATTAATAGCTAGCAGTAGTGTTCAACTTGTATAGTACAACTAAACTACAAATATGGTTTGTTTCCTTGGACGGACACCAAATACATGGACCATTTAGCTTGATTCATTATTATACAATCTTTTTAAAAATTGAGGTCTTTGATTAGCTAACCTACATGGTTCATTATATTATTTTTGTCACACATGACACATCTAAACGCGTTCATTAGGCCAAGTTGCTAAATCTAATATACTAGTTACAAATTATATTTGAACAAGACAAAATGTTACACGTTATACTTATATTGAATTTGTAAATAAAAAAACGCACTATTAATATTTATACACGTCATTTAAATTCTTACATCTAACCATTTATTGATATAGATAGGATAGAATGATTGGCAATTCTCTAAAAAGAGACGTTAGAAGTCAGATGTACAACGTTCTAATTCAGGAGATAGAACAATGGCACCATGGTCCCATTGTAATAGATTCTTCACGATAAGACCAAGTGTTCTTTAACAAAATGAATTGATTATAGAGTCGACATTGATATTCCAACAATAACGAGAAAAAGATCAAACAATTATAGTAAGTTTGAAGTTAATGCGTCAGATCACCGATTAATTATTACTCTTTCGACCACTGCCGAATAGGTCTATAACTTTAACGGATACTAGATCTTGATCCGCGCACCGGCGCGGGTTTAACTTAATTTGAGAAAATGTAATAAATTCAGAACTCATCGATTATTACTGTGTTTAAGATATTGTGATCCACGTTGTATGTGAACTATCATATTGAATATAATAGGACTGGGTTGTGATTTTCGGTTCAGCTTTTATTAGGTTCTTTACGTTCTTAGTTTTTTTAGTTCTAGAAACATA